ACATCCACATTTGAACTTTTCGTACTGCACTATTGGTTGTCCTTCTCTCCTTTTTATCTTTCATATAAGTGGAACCACTACAATAGTAGAAGACGTCACCAGCAAAGACCATCTGTAAGGATTAAACAGTTGGACTTTTTCTTTCTTTTTAATTTGGACTTTATTCTTATTTGTGTGCGCAGCCTTTTTTTATTGTTTTTATTTATCTAGCTCTAAAGGGTCTGAGGGATCCCCTTTTAAAAGGTTGCTGCCTATAAGTTACCTAGCGCTGTCTCATTCTTTTCTTTGTCTGAACTATTAGCCCGCCAGCTTTTACCATACAATCTGGTGGAGTCTGAGGCGTTCCAAAAATTTGTAGCTATTGGGACACCGCAGTGGAAGGTACCCGGCCAAAATTTCTTTGCGCAAAAGGCAATCCCCAACCTGTACTCGACTGTGCAAAAGGAAGTAATGGCATGTCTGGCACCAGGGCCGTCTTTAATATCGATTGGACCCTGGGCAAGCATTTGCTTGGGCCCCCTATACCTGCCCTTCCCCACTCCCCCGTGCCACCCCATTCTCAACCCCCAGCTCCCTGGCATGCAATCAGGGCCTCCACCCCAACCTACTGATAGAACTGTGACTGTGGTGCAAGAATTATTTTCTCTCCAATAGCGCAAGAGTGAAGAAAAGTTAGACACCCATCTGTCGTACAACTTCCACGATGGGGATCCACCGTTTGGCCATTCTTGTAGGGTTGTATTTGTGAGCAGTGTTTGTGAATTTGAATGTAAGCATGTTTTTGTATAGAGTATATCTGTGCATATAGGGGTGTATTTGTATGTACTGTTACTATTTGAATGCAGCTGTGTACTTTTGTGTAGTGTTTGTATGCAGGGGTGTGTGTTTGTATGTAGTGTTGGCTTTTAAATGAAGTTGTGCTTTTGTGTATTGAGTTGGCGTTTGTATATAATTTTAGTGTTTTATGTAACATTTGTAATTGCATGCAGGGGTGTGTGTGGATGTAGGGTTGTCTTTTAAATGCAGATGTACATTTGTGTGTAGTTTAGTGAGTGAAGGGTGTGTTTGTATACAATTTTGGAGTTTGTATTAGGGGTGTGTTTGTATGTAATGATTGTGTTTGCTGTGGTGTGATTGCCTGGATATATGCACATACATACACAGACACATATAGCCAGATACACACACTGACACACACAGCCAGATACACAGACTGACACAAACACAGACAGATACACACACAGCCAGATATACACACAGCTCGGTACACTCACAGTCAGGTACACACACACACATACAGCCAGATACACATGCACAAACAGCCAGATACACACACTGACATACACATAGCCAGATACACATATTGACATACACACAGCCAGATATACACACACAGTAAGATATACACACACACACACACATAGCCAGATAAACACACACACACACAGCCAGATAAACACACACACATATAGTCAGATAAACACACATATGCCCAGATGCACTCACTCAGACCCAGGTACACACACATATATCAAGTTACATCATGTTTTAGCCACCCTCTTGTCTCCTTACCTTTTGGGTACAGAAGGGTGGCTTCCCTGGGGTCCAGTGGGAGCTGGAGGACCAAGGCTGATGAGAGTCTGTCCTCAGTCCCTTTTCTCCTCCTCTGTATACCTCCTCTACGGCACTCTGTTACTTGGGAGGAAGTGATCTCACCTCACTTCCTCCCAGCAGGCAACATCAAAGGGGCCAAGGCCGAGCACTCTTAAAGGGCTGAGGGCCCTTAATTACATCAGGTGCTGCAGTCCACAGGATTTGGACCTCAGCAGGGGGCCCACAGAGCAGCTACTTTGGGCCCCCCAGGAGTAACTGGGCCCGGGGCACCTGCCCCTTTTGCCCCCCTTTAAAGACGGCCTTGTCTGGCACACAACGTTGGGGCAAGGGTCCATCTGACCACTGATACCTGGTCTGCAAAGCAGTGGGTACTTTATAAATGGCTCCACCTGCCACCTGTACAGCAACACAGTCTCCAGTTAGGAGGACCGACCAAGCATCTTCTTCCACCTCCCTGTTCCAAAAATCGCTGCCATATACACGTCCACTGATAGGAGACGCGGAAGGTATTAAACTGATAAGAATAGTACTAAACACACCACTCCTATCTGGTGGCACATTAGATTGCACGCGCAGTGCCCCTATGTAGGGGGAACAGTCTCTATTCCGCTCTTTGTCAGTGTGTATCAGGGGCTTTGAGGACGGGGAACATTCTCTATTCTGCTCTGTGTCAGTGTGTATCATGGTCTCTGAGGACGGGGAACAGTCTCTATTCTGCTCTTGCATTTCTATTTCTTCTTAGATAACAAAAAAATTCTGAGACTATGTTGGCAGGGCTATTCACTTGTGTGATCTGTCATGAATTGTCATTTGAATGTTAATTTGAACTGTGGGGCACAAGAACTTGAATCTGACAAAATGGCTGCCATATACACGTCCACTGATAGGAGACGCGGAAGGTATTAAACTGATAAAAATAGTACTAAACACACCACTCCTATCTGGTGTCACATTAGCTTGACCGCGCAGTGCCCCAAATTTGAAGTAAGAGGACCGACCAAGCATCTTTTTCCATCTACCTGTTACAGAAATCACTGCCATGTACACGTCCACTGATAGGAGACGCGGAAGGTATTAAACTGATAAGAATAGTACTAAACACACCACTCCTATCTGGTGGCACATTAGATTGCACGCGCAGTGCCCCTATGTAGGGGGAACAGTCTCTATTCCGCTCTTTGTCAGTGTGTATAAGGGGCTTTGAGGACGGGGAACAGTCTCTATTCTACTCTGTGTCAGTGTGTATCATGGTCTCTGAGGACGGGGAACAGTCTCTATTCTGCTCTTGCCTTTCTATTTCTTCTTAGATAACAAAAAAAATCTGAGACGACGTTGGCAGGGCTATTCACTTGTGTGATCTGTCATAAATTGTCATTTGAATGTTAATTTGAACTGTGGGGCACAAGAACTTGAATCTGACAAAATGGCTGCCATATACACGTCCACTGATAGGAGACGCGGAAGGTATTAAACTGATCAGAACAATACTAAACACACCACTCCTATCTGGTGGCACATTAGCTTGACCGCGCAGTGCCCAAATTTGAAGTAAAAGGACCGACCAAGCATCTTCTTCCATCTCCCTGTTACAGAAATCACTGCCATATACACGTCCACCGATAGGAGACGCGGAAGGTATTAAACTGATAAGAATAGTACTAAACACACCACTCCTATCTGGTGGCACATTAGATTGCACGCGCAGTGCCCCTATGTAGGGGGAACAGTCTCTATTCCGCTCTTTGTCAGTGTGTATCAGGGGCTTTGAGGACAGGGAACAGTCTCTATTCTGCTCTGTGTCAGTGTGTATCATGGTCTCTGAGGACGGGGAACAGTCTCTATTCTGCTCTTGCATTTCTATTTCTTCTTAGATAACAAAAAAATTCTGAGACGACGTTGGCAGGGCTATTCACTTGTGTGATCTGTCATGAATTGTCATTTGAATGTTAATTTGAACTGTGGGGCACAAGAACTTGAATCTGACAAACTGGCTGCCATATACACGTCCACTGATAGGAGACGCGGAAGGTATTAAACTGATCAGAACAATACTAAACACACCACTCCTATCTGGTGGCACATTAGCTTGACCGCGCAGTGCCCCAAATTTGAATTAAGAGGACCGACCAAGCATCTTCTTCCATCTCCCTGTTACAGAAATCACTGCCATATCCACACAAATTGTACAGAATGTCCAGGATAGTTTTCCAGGGACAAATGTTGTCGCCTGTTGAACGAGGTGACCTTGCTCGGGTCCCAGGTGTGCAGTTCCTAAAATGGCTGCCATATACACGTCCACTGATAGGAGACGCGAAAGGTATTAAACTGATCAGAACAATACTAAACACACCACAAATAAGGTTTCTCTCCTGTATGGCTCCTCAAATGATGCTTAAGATTAGAAGCGGCTGAAAAGCATTTCTGACACTCAGAACAAAAATATATTTTTTTAACATTCTCTCCACTTTGAACGAAATGACGTTTGGGAAGAGATTTTGTATGAGTAGGTTTTTCATGTACGATACGGGAACATGATTTAGATCCTTGGTGAGTTTTGCGAGATCCAATAGTGTGTATGTAGGGGGAACAGTCAATCCATATCTGCCAAGTGACCCTATGTAGGAGGAACAGTCCCTATTCTGCTCTGTGTCAGTGTGTATCAGGGATCCCTAGGACAGGTGTCAATCCATATCTGCCAAGTGACCCGATGTAGCGGGACCAGTTTCTATTCTGCTCTGTGTCAGTGTGTATCAGGGATCCCTAGGACAGGTGTGTTACGGTTGCCTCCAGGCTGGCTGAAAGTTGGACCGTAGAAAGGATGCTACTAGCACTCACCAAAGGACCATCAGCACCGTAGACACCATAAGTACTGCGTAGACACCATAAGTACTGCAGACTCAATGAACCGCCGCTGCTGGGCTAGGATCTCGCCATCTGCTATCCGCCCTGGACCTACGACCAGGCTCCAGGTTCCAGTAGGTGAACCTCTTCCTTCTGTAGAGCGAAGCAGGATCAGGAACAAGAGCTCTTACAAGAGCTCAGTAACTAAGGGAGTATGAAGAGCATAGCAATCCCTGTAGTGATTATAGCTGTCCCCTACAAACATGAGTCAAGGCTGCAAGTTAGAGGGTCAAGTCATTCTGTTTATTGGCACACAAAGAACCTTCTTTTATGCAGGTTTCCCTGAGATAGCACCACCCACAGGGTTTTACACAAAAACCAATAATAACCGTACATTCCAGAAACACTCCCATCAATTACCCACAAGAATCCTCCCCTCTGCCTGTGATCTAATTATGGTACACAATGGGTTAACATAATTAAACACAGGCAGTAAAAATACAGTTTTTATCCATACACTGTAACTTTAAAACTACACATCCCATCTTCATAACAATACATATTTGGAATCAGCACACTTAAAACATAAACATAACCAAAAATCAGCCAAATCCATCCAGGGGTTAAAAAGTTAGCTGGAGGTCCCTTTATGACCGACCGCAAGCACATTTTCCTGCCCAAAACAGTTCCATAGATTTGGGCTGTGCGGTCGGTCTATTTCAGGCTGAAAAAACGACTAAGTCCTATCGCAGCTGAAATAAGGTTGATCATTCGACGAGGTCAGCGGTATGTGTAGCCAAATTCATGGAACTAAAATTGGCTACACATTTCCGCGAACACCGCTGAGCTCTACCTTCTCCCCTACTGGTTTTACAGCTGCAGAGACTAAGTCCCATTCGGCGATGGGACTTAGTCTTTTTTTCAGCCGTTTTTTTCAGCCTTATTTCAGCTGCAGAGACTAAGTCCCATGCGAATGGGACTTGGTCTCTTCAACTAATAAAACCAGTAGGGGAGTAGAGCTCAGCGATTGTTGTGAGGAAATGTGTAGCCGATTTTAGTTCCATGAATTTGGCTACACATACCGCTGACCTCGTCGAATGATCAAAGATGGCCGCCATCACGTGTTCGGCAAACGAACAAAGACCTCCCAGCATTGTCTTTTAAGCTGCGGTTAACCGCAGCTTCTGGGAGGTAAATTGCCTGTACACTTCCACTTCTGGGTGGTCTGCCTGTGTGGTACTTGGTTCAGTAAGCCCCATTTACTGAACCAAGTGGGAAATAGCCAGGCAGGTTTGCACCAGGTCTGGGGACACAGGGGACACCGTCTTAAAGGGGCAGTGTCCCCAACAAGTCTGGGGACACGGCCTTAAAGGGGCAATGTCCCAATCTTCCTGATGTCCCAAAAAAGGTGTTTAAAGGGCCAGCACCAGTCACATAAAGAGTCCATAAGCCCCAATATGCCCACCGACAGTCTTAAAGGGCCATACACACCAAATAAAAGTGCATACATTTCACAATCTCCCAGGGGCCATAGTCATGCGGGAGGAGGCTGGCAAGTAGGCTTCTCCACAACCCAGGGAAGCAGGGCAATTTGCCATTTAAAGGGCCCGTTACAAATAGCAGTTTGTAACAAGGTGTCAATCCATATCTGCCAAGTGACCCGATGTAGGGGGAACAATCCCTATTCTGCTCTGTGTCAGTGTGTATCATGGTCTCTGAGGACAGGTGTCAATCCATATCTGCCAAGTGACCCTATGTAGGAGGAACAGTCTCTATTCTGCTCTGTGTCGGTGTGTATCAGGGATCCTTAGGACAGGTGTCAATCCATATCTGCCAAGTGACCCTATGTAGGGGGAACAGTCTCTATTCTGCTCTGTGTCAGTTTGTATCATGGTCTCTGAGGACAGGTGTCAATCCATATCTGCCAAGTGACCCTATGTAGGAGGAACAGTCCCTATTCTGCTCTGTATCAGTGTGTATCAGGGATCCTTAGGACAGGTGTCAATCCATATCTGCCAAGTGACCCTATGTAGGGGGACCAGTCTCTATTCTGCTCTGTGTCCGTGCGCATCAGGGGCTCTGAGGACAGGTGTCAATCCATATGTCAAGGTGTCAATATGTCATATGTCAGGTGTCAATCCATATTCATTGTGATTTAGGAATGTTGGGTGATTTCTGCCCTTTATGGATTAAAACCAGACTCTGCATCAACTGTGTAATTTTCCATGGGAGTTTTGCCATGGATCCCCCTCCGGCATGCCACAGTCCAGGTATTAGTCCCCTTGAAACAACTTTTCCATCCCTATTGTGGCCAGAAAGAGTCCCTGTGTGTTTTAAAATTCGCCTGCCCATTGAAGTCTATGGCGGTTCGCCCGGTTCGCCGGTTCGCGAACATTTGCGGAAGTTCGCGTTTGCCGTTCGCGAACCGAAACTTTAGGGTTCGCGACATCACTAATCATCATAACAATATAAGAAATGTTATCTAACTGAATGATACTGTCAGCACTGAGGGGCGTTTGAAATTAGTACAAGAATGAATGTTACATATTTGATCTCAACCACCATTTAATTGAATGCTTAGTAAGGGACAAATGAATAACGATCGGAAACCATCGATAAATCTCATCATTCGAGTTTTAAATGGCCGTAGTAACAATTCTTTCTATTTTTCGCTAAGTGTTTTCTCGAGTCTATATTTATATAATCTAGCTGTCTCATTCTAACATCTAGAGATTATGCTTTATTTCACATTATTATCATTGGTGAGCAATTGTCAATACATTAAAAAGTGGAGTAAGAAGAAGAGGGGGAGGGGGCAGTAAGAAGAAGAGGGGGTGGGGGGAGTGAGGAGAACACAGGGGGGGGAGTGAGAAGAACACAGGGAGTGGAGGTGAGGAAGACACAGGGAGGGGGAGGTGAGAAGAACACGGGGAGGGTGGATGTGAGAAGAGACCGCTAGGGGAGGGTGGGGGGAGAGGCGAGACCACTAAGGGGCAGGGAAGAGCTCTAAGGGACAGAAGGGAGAACTCTATAGGACAGGGGGCTCTTTCACACTACTCGCACACACACACAATGCATCCCTAAACACACATACAGGGAGTGCAGAATTATTAGGCAAATGAGTATTTTGACCACATCATCCTCTTTATGCATGTTGTCTTACTCCAAGCTGTATAGGCTCGAAAGCCTACTACCAATTAAGCATATTAGGTGATGTGCATCTCTGTAATGAGAAGGGGTGTGGTCTAATGACATCAACACCCTATATCAGGTGTGCATAATTATTAGGCAACTTCCTTTCCTTTGGCAAAATGGGTCAAAAGAAGGACTTGACAGGCTCAGAAAAGTCAAAAATAGTGAGATATCTTGCAGAGGGATGCAGCACTCTTAAAATTGCAAAGCTTCTGAAGCGTGATCATCGAACAATCAAGCGTTTCATTCAAAATAGTCAACAGGGTCGCAAGAAGCGTGTGGAAAAACCAAGGCGCAAAATAACTGCCCATGAACTGAGAAAAGTCAAGCGTGCAGCTGCCACGATGCCACTTGCCACCAGTTTGGCCATATTTCAGAGCTGCAACATCACTGGAGTGCCCAAAAGCACAAGGTGTGCAATACTCAGAGACATGGCCAAGGTAAGAAAGGCTGAAAGACGACCACCACTGAACAAGACACACAAGCTGAAACGTCAAGACTGGGCCAAGAAATATCTCAAGACTGATTTTTCTAAGGTTTTATGGACTGATGAAATGAGAGTGAGTCTTGATGGGCCAGATGGATGGGCCCGTGGCTGGATTGGTAAAGGGCAGAGAGCTCCAGTCCGACTCAGACGCCAGCAAGGTGGAGGTGGAGTATTGGTTTGGGCTGGTATCATCAAAGATGAGCTTGTGGGGCCTTTTCGGGTTGAGGATGGAGTCAAGCTCAACTCCCAGTCCTACTGCCAGTTCCTGGAAGACACCTTCTTCAAGCAGTGGTACAGGAAGAAGTCTGCATCCTTCAAGAAAACATGATTTTCATGCAGGACAATGCTCCATCACACGCGTCCAAGTACTCCACAGCGTGGCTGGCAAGAAAGGGTATAAAAGAAGAAAATCTAATGACATGGCCTCCTTGTTCACCTGATCTGAACCCCATTGAGAACCTGTGGTCCATCATCAAATGTGAGATTTACAAGGAGGGAAAACAGTACACCTCTCTGAACAGTGTCTGGGAGGCTGTGGTTGCTGCTGCACGCAATGTTGATGGTGAACAGATCAAAACACTGACAGAATCCATGGATGGCAGGCTTTTGAGTGTCCTTGCAAAGAAAGGTGGCTATATTGGTCACTGATTTGTTTTTGTTTTGTTTTTGAATGTCAGAAATGTATATTTGTGAATGTTGAGATGTTATATTGGTTTCACTGGTAATAATAAATAATTGAAATGGGTATATATTTGTTTTTTGTTAAGTTGCCTAATAATTATGCACAGTAATAGTCACCTGCACACACAGATATTCCCCTAACATAGCTATAACTATAAACAAACTAAAAACTACTTCCAAAAATATTCAGCTTTGATATTAATGAGTTTTTTGGGTTCATTGAGAACATGGTTGTTGTTCAATAATAAAATGAATCCTCAAAAATACAACTTGCCTAATAATTCTGCACTCCCTGTAAATACAACATACTTCCCTTACACACAGAGAAACACACAATGCATCCATTACACACACACAATGCAACCCTTACACACACAGACAATGCATCCTTTGCACACATACACAGAAACACACAATGCATCCATTACACACACACAATGCAACCCTTACACACACAGACAATGCATCCTTTGCACACATACACAGAAACACACAATGCATCCCTTACACACATGCAAACACACACTGATTCTCTTACATACACACAGAAACACACAATGCATCCCTTACACACACTCAATGCACACACTTACAGACACACACCTTGTATCCCTTATGCATACAAACACATATTCACACAATGCATCACTTACACACAGCCAGAAACACACAATACATCCCCTATACACAAAAATACACACTGCTTCCACTACACACAAACACACTGCATCACCTACACAAACTGGTATCCCTATACACTACATTCCATAAGCACACACATTATAAGCACACTCCACTCCCTGTGAGCGAACATATAGGTGGACTTATGGCTGGGCCTTATGGGCATACTCACCATCAGACCTTGAGCTGTGTAAGGGGCCCCAAAAAATGGAGCTGCTTCCCGTTCTCCCTGAACACTGAATTTTGTGACCACAGTTACAAACGGCCTCCAGAGATCCTGTTCTACACCAGACCAGTGGAGCCAAACTGCAGCCAGAGTACATCACCATCCTCATCTGGTTGTAAGTAGGCAATGTAGTATATAATCAGTGTGACAAGAGCAATCTCACCACATTGCATTGGAGAAGCCTGGTTGCGCGCCTGCTGCCTTTGGACTATGGCCCCCATGTTAAAAGACATCTTTTTCACTGCAGAAAAGACTTATTCGTGCTTTTCTGCCCGCTGTTTGGTAGATTCTCGGATTTACTGAATGAACTCATATAACCCAGATAGGTATGCCATGGAGCCTATTCATGTAATAAAAGACTTTGGCTCCATGGCAATTGAACTGTATGTGTTTGTGGTCTGAGCGCCATTCAGTATTAATGTGCGCTCAGACCTAAGCTATCTGGGCATATGTTGCATGTCTGTATTTTATGTCATAAATGTAACCTTGTGTATTTATTGTATTTTACTGTCTTTTTGCTGCCATGTGTTCAATGGAGTTTTGCCTCTGTCTTTGGAGAT